GTAACAAACATAGAAGAGTTTTCTAGGAGCACAGAAAAATCAATGACTAATTCTGCCTGGGACATAATTCATTAAGGAGACAATATTATTGGATTTAATAAAACAAGTAGAATTATCAAGATATACAGGGCAAAAAATTTGCCATTTTTGGCTAGTGATAATGGTCTATTTTCCAGAGGTGCCATGCATTCTGACAAAATTTGCAAGGTGTTCTGTGATTTAATTTTTTTTAGAACAAGAGATTTCATATTACTCTATATTGCTATTTTCAAATATGCTCAGAGAGTCAGTCACATTTTGGTAACTAAAATGCAATGCTAATATTCTAATTTATATGCATCTAAGCAATAAAAGACACATTCTAAATCGTAAGTGTAGATATTTTCTCTCCCATACAATTAAATGAAACTCTATTCATTTAGGATGAAGAAAAACATGGTCCATATCTTTTTTTTCCCCCTGAATAAGCCATTTCTCTCCTTCTCTATCTCTGCCTATCATCTATATTTTTTGAAAGGTAGTTGCATGATCCAGGCAAAAGTAGAAATTTACAGAGTTAGAAAGTGTTCCATGACTGTATGAGGTGGCTGAAATTGGATGAACAAACCAGCAAACCAACACAAGAGAAGACGAAGAAGAGAACATATTGGTAGGTATATTGGTGAGACTCCTAGCAGGAAACAGATGGTACACTGGGTAAGCTGAGGAAAGCTTAGTAACAGAACTATTTACAAAGATTAGGAAAGCCAGAAGGGCAAGAAGAGAGAATGGTTTTCAGCACCTGGGAACTTGTGTGGAAAGGGCCACCTAAGAGAAGCCAGCAGTGATTCCTTGGGAAACAGATGGGGGATAACTACCCAACCTCACAGTCCCACTGTCATGCCCCACCTTCCTCTACTCCCAGTCACCTCTGGCTTCTCATTCATGGAATAGGGAAGACAAGAAGGTGAGCAGCCCACTAGATCTGTCCACACTGGTCAACCTCCAGGACACAGAGCTGGGAAGAAGTAGTGGATCTGAGTGACAAAATGGCCATATCCAGTATAATAAATTATACTGCTTCCAGATTACAAATGGCCAGGTATGATGCAGGAAGTTTGACCTTGCCTGTCGAGAGCAGGGAGACAAAGAAAATGTTAAGGCAGGAATTGATATGACCAGGTGGTGCTTTTCAAACATCACTCTGGTGACGGTGTACAGAGTGGATGGGCGTCATGACAGGTTGAGGCAGGGAAACCTGCTGCGAAAGTCCAGTGGGAAGTGGAGGGCTGCATTAGTGCAATGGCAGGGAGAAGGCATGAGGGTTGATTAGAAGGCAGTGTTGACAGGACTGTGTGCAGGAGGTGAGGGAGATAGGATGGGAGCTGGGAAGACAGGATCCAATTACCCAGGGACTAGGGATGCAGTGGATAATGCAGTCATAGGAAAATAGGACGCAGGACATATATTTCTCATGGACTCATTGTTTGTGAAGATTGAAGATTATCTATTCACAAGAGAGAATTTCACCCTAATAGAGACAGGAATTTCTAATGAGAGGTTAAAATATGACCAACTCTGCCTGTGCTGTGATAACTTCTGTCTGAATTAACTCACTCAGAGGTTTACAGAGAAAGTGATCTCTTTTCCACATGGACAGCTGCTTAACTGTTAATTGGTGCCCTGAGGAAGCATTTAAGAACTCTTGGAGCAGACATGGGCAGCAGTAACACAGCTAGCTTCTATTTGGCTTGTACACATGGTAGTTAGAAGCATAACCAATTATCATAAAAAACAGCTACCATTTTTTAGGGCCTATTTTGTGCCAAGCATTGTTGCCTTACAACAACAACATGGCAGCCCCTTTATTTATACTCTAGAAATGGGAAAACGAGGTTAAGTAACTTGCTCAAGGCCACACAGATAGGAAGCAGATGTGCTAGAGAATATACCAAAGGCATTGGGCCTACTCTTTAGGGGCATACAGATGCTGGTGGCGTAAGGCAAGTTATATGAAAATATTATGTGTTGGATACAATTACACATGAATACTTATGTGATTAATTATGTTTTAAAAACAAATTAATTCACATCCTGAGAATGTACATTTTGATACTTTGATTCTTTTCTTGGGAACTTTCTGAATAAGGTGGCTTAAGAAATTCTCAATTGAGAAGAGGAAAAGGAAGATACTGGCTCAAGGGAATATTCTTGACCAGACTGAGTTCCTTCAGGGCAAGGAACATGCCTTATTCATAAACTGCTTCCTTGATAGAACCTAACAAAATGCCTAGAATATGCTACTGTTCAATACGTATTTTTGGAATGAATGAACCAATGGGAGGCTCCTTCAAAAGTGTTTCCCTGTGGAGATTTTTGTCATCACAAGGTGGAAGATGAGCAGCAGGGTTAATTCCGCCAGGATGTATTTACATAGCAACATGGATCAGAATAGAAGATGTCTACTTAAAGCACACACAGAAACAACCACACAACTGTATCTCAAGAATTATTAATGGAATGTACCCAAAATGGTTTTTTTTTTAGCGCTTCACAAGGCTTGGTGGGATTGGTTCCAGTTGGCTTGGATGGGAGGTCACACAGATTAAAAATAGACTTTCTTAATATGGAACAATAGGCTACATTCATTTAACAAGACAGAAAAAAAAAAAAAATGACAGGCCTTAGGGGCGGGAATGAAGCTTAATCCTATTTAAGAGCTCAATTAACCCCCAGAAGATTGAGTAGGTCCTCCGCCTTCATTGCCATTCTTCTGTCTAGCAGAGCTTAAAAACAGAAATTCGTAAAGAGGAATAGAGATTCACATTTGTATATGATATTGAAAATATTTTAAATAGGGCATAATAAAGTTTAGGAATATAAGAATTAGTTTGCTTAGACTGTTACAGTCCTTTAAAACTTGAAATAAGTCATATTCTCTTTTAATTGTCAAATCTGTTACCATTGTTAATAAAATATTCAAACACAAGCCTTTATCTTGACACATAAATTCATTGATTTTTAAAAAATAATTTCTTTCTTATAATTATATTATCAAACAAAATTACATTTCCTTCTGAACTAATCAGTACATTCTCAAGAAATCTATATCAAAACCATGTTGGAGTACATTCCAGTCACTCTAATGTTTTAATACACAGAAGCCAGGTTCTGTTCAAATTAGTCCAAACCAGGTTAAGCATCTGGGGGCTTGGGTAGGTCATTTGTATCAATTGCTAGATCTTACTTTTCACAGATCACCCTACGGAACCTCTGTGAATGGAATTTATCAGCTCTTTTCATTTGTGCCCCAGCATTACAGAAATGACTCAAATTGAAAAAAATTTTCAAATTGAAAAGTGACAATTTCTCATTTGTGTTTTTGCCTTTGGATTATGATAAAAAGTGGTGGTTACATTATATGTACACTTTTTGTTCTTTGTTTTAATAAACATATTTTATGTTTATTAAGTATATCTTTGAGTTTTTAACTTTTTAAATAAACATATCTGAAGTATTTGAGAAGCTTGAACAATTGAAGGTTTTCTCCCTATCACATTGAAATCATTTAAGTGGCAGAAGGAAAAGATCACTTTTTGCCTCTCCATTCCTTCAAGCAGTGGCATTTCCATCCTTTCTTCCCCTTCCCCACCAGCCAAGAATTCACATCCTAATTTTCTCCTTGGGGTATGAGAGAATTTGCTGACGTTCTGGAATATGATGACAACTTTGCTCTGTTATACACTTTGTTTAAATTGTAGCTACTCTTGGAAATTACAGAGAATGTCACAACCCAAGATAAAGCATGACTTTGGCTACGTTTCTTTCTCTTTGTGACGCAAATGTTACTTAACCATTTATTTCTTGTCCCAACTAGACAGCTAACACATCTATTTAAGGTATTAGAGCACTGGCACTATAATTGGAATTCAGTTATTACATGCTACTAATCCATGTAATACCACTCCCTGTTAAATTGAACAGTTTTTCTCTTGAACCGACACATGATGCCAGTTCAATATTTTTCTTCTGTTTTGAAGGGCTACCTTCCAACATATTAGAGTAAAGAAAGAAATCAGATGCAGCGTAAACATGAGAGAAACGTTTAGCTCATGGAAGGATACAAACTATGAAAACTTTTGTGTGAAAACTACCTTGCGGTGAAAATAAGATCACTAAACTAGAAAGAGAAGATCCTCCATATAAAAATCATCAGAAAAACTAATGTTTTAGTGTAGAGTCATTTAAGTCATGTCATCTTTTAGATGACACTATAAACTCTTAATACGGCTCTTCAAAATCACAAACATCTAATTTCTAAGTGATATGCTTCAGTTTTGGTAGTAAACCCTTTCAATCTCTTTTTTTAAGATTATTATTATCATTATTATATATAAAACATAAAACAGTATTGAGGAAGATTAAAAGATTTTTTTAAAAGCACCTGAATCCACCAATCTAAGTCTAATTTTTCACATTTCCATGTTTCTCATCAGCCCTTAATCTATCTCCCATGATCCTCCTAAATAGTTACAATCATAGCACAGAGCATAGAAACATATTCTAATTTTCTCATATAATTGTTCATTACTTCAAAATTATATTTTTGATGGTATAACATCAGCTTTAAATAAGTATATCTCATTCTCTGACTACTATATAAGCTACTTAAGATGACAAAATAAATCTTGATAATTATTGACAATTGATTTCCAAAGGCTGTTCCCCAGTACACTAAGCAACATCTCATTCTTTTCCCCAAGAAAAAAAAATTGTGGATATGGTTACAAGTAAGTCTACAAGAAGCATACATCTTATTCTCACATGATATAATGTTCTGTTAAGAATCTGAGCAAACCAAATTGATTTTTCAGGAATTAAATCATAACATTTGCTCAGAGATTGATGAGATTGCCCAGAGATTGATGAGACTTACACTTTTAATATTTAATGAAACGTCTACATGAAGATGGAATTTTATTCCAAAATTGGATGGAAAACATAACCAAATGTCAACTTACCAGCCGTTTCCTTGTCTGAAATACCTGGAAGTGCCTGAAAAAAAAATCCACAAAATTACGTTATTACTAGAAAGAAATATCACAACATTATCAGGAACAAAATGAACTACCATAAATGGAGCAAAAATTAAATAGAACCCAACAGCAGAAAAATGAGCAGGCAGAGGAACTGAACAGACATTTTTCCATAGAAAGCATACAAATGGCCAACAGGTACATGAAAAGGTGCTCAACATCACTAATAATCAGGGAAATGCCAAAATCACAACGAGGTATTACTTCCCAACTGTTAAAATGGTTATTAAGACAAAAAAATAACAAGTGTTGGCAAGGATGTGAAGAAAAGAAAACCCTTGTGTACTGAATGGAGTGTAAACTGCACAGCCACTATGGAAAACAGTATGAAGATTCCTCAAAAAATTAAAAAATAGAGGGGCGCCTGGGTGGCTCAGTCGTTAAGCGTCTGCCCTCGGCTCAGGTCATGATCCCAGGGTCCTGGGATCGAGTCCCGCATTGGGCTCCCTGCTCAGCGGGAAGCCTGCTTCTCCCTCTCCACTCCCCCTGCTTGTGTTCCCTCTCTTGTTGTGTCTCTCTCTCTGTCAAATAAATAAATAAAATCTTTTAAAAAATTAAAAAATAAAACTACTATATGATCTAGCAATCACACTTCAGGTTATATATCCAAAGGAAATGAAAAGAGGATATCAAAGAGACAGTTGTATTTCCATGTTCACTGCAGCATTATTCACAACAGCCTAGATACAGTAACAGCCTACATGTCCATCAAGGAATGAATGGATAAAGAAGATGCGGCATATATACAATGGAATATTATTCAGGCATGAGAAAGAAGGAAATCCTGCCATTTGCAATCACATGGACCTGAGGGCATTATGCTAAGTGAAATAAGCCAGACAGAGAAAGACAAATGCTGCATGGTATCATTTATATGTGGAATTAAAAAAAAAAAGGGTGAAACTTCTAGAGTCAGAGAGTAGAAAAGTTACATGGGGCTGGAGAAATAGGGAGAATTTGGTAAAAGGGTATATAAACTCTCGGTTATAAGATGAACAAGGTTTGAGGATCTAATGTATAACATGATGACTATAATTGATAACACTATATTGTATAATTAAAATTTGCTAAGAGAGTAGAACTTAAGTGTTCTCACCAATAAGCCAAAAACAAAAACAAACAAAAAAACCCAACAACAAAAAACAAGCCAAAAACCAGATAAACATGAGAAGAGATGAAAGTGGTAATTAAGTGGAAATCCTTTCACAATGTATATGTATTCCAATCACCATGATATAAATTTTAAATATCTTACAACTTTGTCAATTATACCTCAATAAAGCTGAAAAGAAATAAAAAGAAAAAGAAAAATGAGGGTTGGGGAACGATCAGTAAAGTTACCAGATCCAGGTGTAATTGTCAGTCATCATGTAATTCTTTTCTTCTCTGAAAACACATGTTACCCTTAAAAAGATATTGACAATAAATGAAACCAAAAACAATCTTTGAATTTAGGTAGAATTTTTATAGTTTAATTTCTCTGTCCTGTTTTGGGGGACAGAAAAAGTAAATGGTGGTGGTTTCTGGGCATTTCAAATCTCTGCCCTGTATCTCCAAGGCTCAGATTCCTCCTTTATTATTATTATTATTGTTAAAGATTTTTATCATTTATTTTAGAGAAAGAGGGGAGCAGGAGCGGGGGGGAGGGGCAGAGGGAGAAGCAAACTCCCCGATAAGCAGGGAGCTCGAAGCAGGGAGCTCAATGCAGGGTTCCATCCCAGGACCCTAGGATCATGATCTGAGCCAAAGGCAGATGCTTAACCAACTGAGCCACCTAGGCACCCCGAGATTCCTCTTTTATTAGATGGGGACAATCACATCTACTTCCTAGGGTTACTGAAAGGACCACCTGTGGTAGCTTCGATGAAGCATTTGAGGTCTTCAGGAAAAGGTAACTGCTGTTACTATTTGTTTCTATGGACATTGGGCCAATGGGCCAATTTACTGATAGGCATGGTTTAGAAGTTCCATTCCCAGGAACTATCATCTATCACTATCATTGTTTAAAAAATAAAGTTCACAAGGAGATGTTTTCAAAAGACTTTAATGTATAAATGTCTAATTCTACTCTCAGTGGATATTCTAAAATAAATTAAGGAAGTTGAACTTCTGGTTGCCATTCACCTCAGTTAGTCATGTTTATAATATTGTGAACATGAAGGTATAACTTGTATTGGAAGACTTCAATCCATCTGACCCACTGGGATTTGGATTTGATACCTTTTTTTGATTTGATACCCAAACCACTGACCAAACAGGATGTCTACGACTGACATTTCTCCTTCTCTTCAGGGACAAATTCCTCAGAGTTGGGGTAAGAGAAGTAGGCTCAAATGGGTAATTAATTTTGTTGTGTGTGCGTGCACATGTGTGTACACATTCTTTAGCATCGATCTTCATTTCCAGAAATATCAAGTATCAAGATACCTATATCTTTGTGAGATACTGATTATTGCCGAGATCCTCACTTTTGGAACTTACAGAATTTGGAGATTGAGGCAATTTTCAAATAAGAGGCGAATCTCTCTATGGGTAAAAAATAGAGGGGGGGTTTATTTTGGCAAGATTAATCTATAGTGAAGGTATATTTTGACTTAATTTCTATCTACATTTAGTGGTTCACTTCTTGTTCTCTGAATGTGAATGCTGACTGCATCCTGGCAAAGGTACAGCTGTGAGGAGAGTATCAGGTGAGTAAATGGCAGAGTGGAGGGTCATGTCCAGAGACCAGGGCATCGAAGGGACTGCATAGGCTTTAGGCATCTTCCTCAGCATCCTTTCATTTGTAGCAGGGTCATCTATTTTTCCCTCTCTTCAAGAAGAACTGTGTGATTCTACACTGTAGAAAAGATGTTTTCCCCTTTACAGGAAAATTATCACATGGTTTTAGTGATATTTGTTGACTTGTTATATATCTTTTTTGAGAAGGGTTTATTTAAAAATGGACTTAAATTGGGGGCACCTGTGTGGCTCAGTTGGTTGAGGATCTGGCTCTTTATTTCAGTTCAGGTTGTGGTCTCAGGGTTGTGGGACTGAGACCCCCCTAACAGGCTCTATGCTGAACATGGAGACTGCTTAGGATTCTCTCTCTCCCTCTGTCACCACCCCACTGCTTCTCTTGCGTATTCTCTCTCTCTCTCTCTCAAAATAAAGGACTTAAATTCATACTATGTGTTATATTTTAAGCTTAGCCCCTGGATTTCCTCCCTCACTGGAGATGAGGTCTTTCAAATTAAATTTTCTCTTCTGTGACAAGAAAATAAACAACAAAACCAAAACCTTTCCATTGAGAAGATTGTAAAGGTCGGTGATAAGCAGTTAAAAGACGTTCATGGAGAAAGCGCCTCAGAAGGAAATAGTGAACACTTACTAGGTTCTGAATAGGTACAAGGTACCGTTTTAAGCTTTTGCCTGCATAAACTCACCAAATGCTTAGAATAACCTATGGGGTCCTGGAAACTTTTGCGAGGTCACTGTCGGTAATGGGAGCCAGGACACAACCACTTGCATGTTGGCCTCTGAGGTCACTAACACTAGTTTCAAAGTACTAATCAGAGTCTTTTTGAAACAAGGAAGAAGAAAAATTTGGAGAGATTCCATGATAAAATATTGACTGGGATCACAAAATATCTGTGCAGGAATATCTGTATGAGCTATTTAGAAATTATCTAAGTAAGTTCTCTCTTCTTATAGCCAAGGCCTTTAAGACAAATTGAGTGTCTTGCCCCAAATCACAGGTTGACCAGTGACAGGTCTTTTCCATATTTTGTTCTATTTGATTGCAAAGTGTGTCACTGAGCATGTATAAGTAAATATTTAATAAAAATGTTAAGCAATGAGTTGTGCTACAAAGCAAAAATATTTTAGCCTCCATGTAGCCAATTCCTATTACTTTAGAGCCTCACCACATTCTGTATGATTCTTTAAGCCACCAAGGATCACTTCCATGAAATAACTGTCAACAGTTTCATGCACCCAGAATTTTATAACTGCCCTTTCAAAGTAAAACCAGGCAGTCAACAGCTGAATGTCTCTCAGCTGATTTATCTTTGAATTTGAGGGAGAACTGTCTCTCTAGAAAAGGTTTATAAATAAATTTTAAAAATGCTGACACTCCATTTTCAATTAATTGAAGCTATCTGTTGATTCCTAAATTAAATGCCTCACATTATCCTGTGTGCAGAAAGCCTTGGCAAAATGTTCCTTCTTTGTGGAATTCACAATCCCGTCGAAGAAGGTACATGAAAGACAGAGAATAGTTACATACAGTGGGTGCTCAATGGTCATGATTAGCACCATCACTGGTGTGACATCAAAAGGAGTGAGAAGACAGTCGATAATTAGGACCACCCAGGTGGAAATGGAATGGTTTTCTTAGGCACTGAACTCTTTGGAAGGAGACGTTGGTCCAAAGATTCTTTTTGCCTTTGAGTTCAGAGAAGAGGCATGGCTAGATTTGGGCTTCAGGTCTTGAGGTTCCGTAGTGTTTTATCTGTTCCTATGCTTGGAACAAAACAGCCCATGCAAGGTGGCTGTATAGTCTGATATAGAGTAAGTGTTCATCAAACATTTGTGGAATTAAAGTACCAAAAACATATTCACATATACAGTTCAAATAACATGTATGACTGTTGCTTATGAGAAAGGTCCTATAAAAAGCATATTTTTGAATTCATTAGGGGCTTTTGTTAATACTTGCCATATGTTTCATTTGAACTATATCCTCAGGAAGTGATTTAACATTTCTGGCAATAAAGCAATTAAATAGGACTTTCCTGCTGCCCATATGGGTTCGCTGTAACTTCATATTTTCTTCTCTCATTTCTTAATGGAACAAAGGGAAGTCTACTAATAACTTCCAAATGAGAGAAGAAAATCATTCGTGGTCTTGTTATTCTCCTTTGTGATATTCAAATGATAGGATAACAATCTTAAATATTTTTTTAATGGCTGTACTGA